GGGGGTGAGAGAATTTTGATGGGGAAAAGTAAATGGGGTTAAATGGGCGTATTTGAAAGAACTAGAGGTAAAGGGGAAGTGGCAATATTAAATGATCAACTATGGAAGGAGACGAGGGGGTGTGGGTGTTTAAATTCAAGAATTATGTAGATCTGAATAAGGGTGGGACACAAGAAGTTATAGCAAGTGTTTATGTGCCTGGGGTAAAGAACAATGTACAGAGAGAGAGAGAGATTTTGGGAGGTGTTAAGGAAGTTTGAATCAAGTGAGAAAATAAATGTTGGGGGAAATCTAAATGCTAAGGTGGGAGAAACTGTTGTTGAGGGTGTAAAATGTAAGCTTGGAGTGCCAGAGGTAAATGATAATAGGGCCTCTAATTGAACTATGCAAAGAAAGAAGTTGGGTAATAAGTAATATGCACACAATATATGATAAAGGGCATAGCAATTTGTTAGACTTTGTATTATTATTAGATAAAAATTTGAGGGGTAGAGTTCTGGATATGCATGTTTTCAGAGGAGCAACAGATAGATCAGATCATTATTTAGTGGAACAGTAGCTACAGAGTAAGCAGCTGGGGCACAGGAGATAGAGTAAGATATAAGCAACTATTGGGAGAAAGGTGAGCTAGAGAGTGTACAGATAATGAGGAGGGATAGGGGAGGGGAGGATGAAGAGGTTGCAGTACAGAAGGCCATCTGAACTGTGATGTCAGCATGCTTCTGGCAAGACAGACTGAGTGATAATGATCTTTTTCAGATCACCCTATCTCGGTAGGAGATGGCTAGTGTTAAGAAAAAAAGAAACACTGTTAGTGTACAAATTCATGAGCACATATTTCTAGTCTCTACAGCAACAACAACTCCTACTGTCAATATAGCAGTGTACCGCCAACACTAATGAAGGAAATACACAGGTGCAGAGGAAGCTGTTATTAAAACAATGTTTCACCCAGTGTAGAGTTATGCCAAGTTATTGATAAAGCTCTAAATACAGTGAAACACTGTCACAATAAAATCCTTCTCTGCACCTACCTTTTCTTCATTACACCTACTGTACCTTACTAAAATTGTCAACTGTTTAACATTTTTTCCAACACACTTAGTGGTAGACATATAAAACAACTACTATATCAACATTCTGAGGTTTTCTACTATTTATGCAAATATGAGAATGTTGAAAGCAATAATTCCCAACACTAAAAGTGAAAAATCTATTCATGTATAAAAAATGCTAAAATTCACTAGAAAATATTCTGTACACATTACCAGTTAAATGGAAAAAAAAAAAGCTGAAATAATCCTGTTTGGAAGAACAGTGTGCTGCACTTGTATTAGAGCTGATAAACAAACTTAAAAAATAACATTTGTACGGTGAACAGCTATAGCTGCTGGACCCTTCAGGGAAGGTGCCTTGATGCCAGTGAAGAGCTCTTGATCCAAAGAATTAGAGATACCCTCCCTTTTCCTTGGCTCAAATCTGATTGCCTCCCATTTTCCAAGGCACTTTTTGACCCTTTATGGGTTTGTCACTTCCCCTCCCTATCAAATAAATATAATATAGTTCTAGGAGAGTCTTGCAACTGTAACTTAGTTCACAAATTTGGCACAGAGATCCTGGCACTAAACAAGGGCCAACACTGTGATCTTGTGGCATGTTGTACAGTTTACAAGTGGTACAGTAAACCCTTGATTTAGGATGTCAATTTAACAAATCTCACTTTAATGAACCTCAATTTAACAGATCTCATTTGAGCGAACCTCGATTTAACATACTTTGGAAATACAAGAAAAAACTGTTGGGTCGGTCAATTTGGAAACAACAAAGTCCATCCGTTATAGAATTGTTTGTTACCATTATGATCACTGCCAAACAACCTCCTCTCTATCCACCACATTCACCACTACAGACCACCTACTCCTTCCTTCAAAGTCCGTTAAATCGAAGGTTTACTCTCAAGAATGTTTTGCTATTTTATGGGGCTAGAACCCTTGCAGCACTGTATGGCCCTTATGGGTTAGTGCTAATCTGATGATGATGATAATGGCAATGATGATTTCGTGAGTCAGATCATTTCAGTGTTGAGCTCGCATACCTTAACAGCTTTTTTTCAAATTCCAAAATTTAAAAACTAAAAAAAATATAATATAACATAAAATATAATATACATGTGACAAGACACTACTTTTCACAGATTAAAATATCTAAAAAAATTATTCAGGAGTTTATAATGAGTACAGCAACACTAGTTAACACACTGTATTAGAATGCTGCAACATATATACATGTACAGTGGACCCCCGCCTTACGATCAGCTTCCAATGCGACCAATTATGTAAGTGTATTTATGTAAGTGCTTTTGTACATGTATTTTTGGGGGTCTGAAACGGACTAATCTAATTCACAATATTCCTTATGGGAACAAATTCGTTCGGTAACGGCACCTGAACATACTTCTGGAATGAAATTATATCGTAAGGCGGGGGTCCACTGTACATACTTACTGCATCCTCAGTACAATGTTGCATTACATTTCCTGAGAAGACTACACTACATACAAAGATAGTAATTAACCCTTTCAGTGTTGTGACCCCTGCTCGCAAACTTGCTCACAAGGTCAAACAATTTAAAAAAAAAAATGATTTTACCTTATGAAATGACAGAATCTTTTTCCGAAGGCAGTCTCGGAGATACGCATCAGCAATTTCGCCCACTTTACACTCTATTTTTTGCCAATTTCATTGTTCCAGTCAACCAACATTATAGCTATTTCACTAGTGTTCCTTCTATTCTATCAAATGAGCACAAGAACCCCCCCATTTACCTATTTGAACTACCCATTAAAGTGATCAGAAATTGGTAATTTAGCCAATTTCACATAAAATTCAACAATTGCCAATTTGATAATAGGGTCCAGAATAAACAATATAGATATTCCTGACACTAAATAAACATTTTCTCTGCTCCTTTGTCATGTCTCCAGGCCCCTCTTATATTACATTTGTTTTCCATTTTCAATATTTATTTACACAAAAAATAGAAAATTTACTTTTATTCAGACTACTGCATTATTGTAATAATTGTATAAATAATGTCTGTGTATTTCTAAATGTATCAGACTGGCCAGTTGGATGCGTACTGGAAAAGTGATGTTATCTGTGTACTCTGGAATATCTGTAAAAATCAAATATTTCTGCTACTTTGAGCTCAATTTCAAGTTACTTTCAGTCCTGAAACTAATCAAAATCATCTTTATTTCTGTAATATATTTTCCATTCTATCAAATGAGACCAAAAAGCCTAGAATACAGCCATAAAAATCATACAAAAATACACCACAAAGTTGCTGTTTTAACCCTTAAACTGTCCAAACGTAGATCTACGTTCACGTGCGTAGCGCTCCGACCTTGATTTTCCCCATTTGAAAACATGCAAAAGAAAAAAAAAAACGTATATCTACGTTCGGAGCCCCCCACACGTGGACGTAAATCTACGTTTGGACAGTTTAAAGGTTAAACCAAAAACACGGTTGCAGCTGCGTACTGCAGGATTTTTTTTATATGGTGCACACTCACCGCATATACCCATTCTCTCATATCTAGGCCCAAATTTACCGCTCACAGCTTAAATGAGTGAGCTGAGCTCATGGCGTCACTACGGGACTGACACTGGCTTCAAAGCCATGATATAATGGGACTGACACTGAAAGGATTAATGAACCCTAAAAGTCACCCTATTTTTAACCCAAACTGCAAAGGAAATTCACATAGAAAAATATTTCTGGTTTATATTGCAAAGGAAGCCACACTGGGAAGAACAGTATGCAATTTAAATTTTGTAAAAAAATTTCTCTATAGTACAGGTCTCCCTCAACATTCGCGAGGGTTAGGGGATCAAGAGCCTCGCGAATGTTGAAAAATCGCGAATGTTTGGTGCCCCAAAATATTGTAGGGAAATATAATACAATACTGCTTCCTTAACTTGTTGAACCATGAACAATCATAAAATACATGAAAACGTCGTAAATTGTACTAAAGACATACATGTTATAGTTTAATAACATGTATGTTATTAAATACCACTGCCTCCACCGCTTCCTCAACCACTGCGAGTCCCTACTACCCTCCCTCCGACCCCCGCAACTAGCAGCCAGCCCTCCCACCAGTGTGGTGAGTGTTTTGTTTGTTCATTATTTGCTATTAAACTGCAGTATAAATAATGTAAATCCATTCATGACTGCATATTGGAATGGCTATTTGGACAGGTATTGGATGGTGACATCATGTGTTTACTCTTGAACACAGCAAAGAATCAAACATTTCTGCTACTGCTAATAACAACAATAGTAATAATAATAATAATAATAATAATAATAATAATAATAATAATAATAATAATAATAATAATAAATATGATAGAATTGAAGAAGGAAATTGTACAAAAATACGAGGGAGTGATTTACACATCGTCAGTTTGGCTTTGTTTATGCTGGAGTGAGCATTAGTCTCCGTGCTCTTCCAAACATTTCACAATAATTCATTGTGTTTGATGCTTGTAGATTGAGTGTGACTGGAGTGGTAGAGGCAGTGGTAGAGGCAGTGGTTGAGGAAGTGGGTGAGGCAGTGGGTGAGGCAATGGGTGCAGCAGTGAGTGAGGCAGTGGTTGAAGCAGTGGGTGAGGCAATGGGTGAGGCAGTGGGTGAGGCAGTGGGTGAGGCAGTGGTTGAGGCAGTGGGTGAGGCAGCGGTTGAGGCACTGGTAGAGGCAGCAGTTTAGGCAATGGTAGAGGCAGCAGTTGAGGCACTGGTAGTTAATAATATGTTATAAATAATAATAATACATATTATTAATAACATGTATGTTATTAAATACCACTGCCTCAACCACTGCCTCAACCACTGCCTCACCCATTGCCTCACCCACTGTCTCAACCGCTGCCTCGCCCACTGCCTCAACCACTGCCTCAATCACTGCCTCACCCACTGCCTCAACCACTGCCTCACCCACTGCCTCAACCACTGCCTCACCTGCTGCCTCACCTGCTGCCTCAACCACTGCCTCACCTGCTGCCTCAACCACTACCTCACCCACTGCCTCAACCACTGTCTCACCCACTACCTCACCCACTGCCTCACCCACTCCCTCAACCGCTTCCTCAACCACTGCCTCTACCACTCCAGTCGCACTCAATCTACAAGCACCAAACATAATGAATTATTGTGAAATGTTTGGAAGAGCACGGAGACTAATGCTCACTCCAGCATAAACAAAGCCACACTGACCATGTGCCAATCACTCCCTCGTATTTTTGTACAATTTCCTTCTTCAATTCTGTCGTATTTATTATTATTATTATTATTATTATTATTATTATTATTATTATTATTATTACTATTGTTGTTATTAGCAGTAGCAGAAATGTTTGATTCTTTGCTGTGTTCAAGAGTAAACACATGATGTCACCATCCAATACCTGTCCGAATAGCCATTCCAATATGCAGTCATGAATGGGTTTACATTATTTATACTGTAGTTTAATAGCAAATAATGAACAAACAAAACACTCACCACACTGGTGGGAGGGCTGGCTGCCAGTTGCGGGGGTCGGAGGGAGGGTAGTAGGGACTCGCAGGTGGAGGGAAACTTAAATATGATTTGGCGGCTGGGAATTTGGAGGCTGGGAATTTGGCGGTTGGGAATTCGCGAATGTGTGAGGCCCGCGAAAGTTGAAAACGCGAATGTTGAGGGAGACCTGTACAGTCCTGTGACCTTGCAATAATAAAAAAAGATAATAATTTAATTTTGAATAACATATATGTAACAAGAAATGCTTAATATACTGCAATTGACCTTATAAATTTTTCTCACTAAAAAGCAGTGGCAATGGTACACTATATTTACAACTCAACAGTACCTCATCCAAACTCTTAGTGAGGTCTATATTTTGCAATGGCATGAAAGGTACAGTATACAGTGTCTTAGACTAAAAAATAAAACTTGAATGAACACTATGTACAAAATATATCACCTGGAGAAATAATCAGAATTAAATTTGCTATCCTCCAGATTAAATTATATTCATGGGCAAGTGCTACACCCATAAGAGTTGTACAGAGCCTGGGAAAATGGAGATAAATCAGATTTGATCCAAGGGTAGGATAGCTCCAATTCCTTGGATCAGTACCATTTCATCACCATCAAGGTACCTCCTCTTGAAGGGCTCCAGATTATAGACTTTGTACCAAAGGCAATTCTAATCACAGCTTCCAAATGCAGGGAAGATATCCATACACATTAGAAGAAAATAACTTGAGCTATAGGTCTCAAATTGTTGATGAAAATAATGGAATTTTAACAAGATACTTACTTTCATCTTGAAAACTGGTGCAACAAGCTATTGTGTTAACACAGAAAATAACAAAAAAAGGCACAATACCGTGACTGGAACGATACACAAATAACCCGCACATAAAAGAGAGAAGCTCACGACGACGTTTCGGTCCGACTTGGACCATTTACAAAGTGTGACTTGTGTGACTTTGTAAATGGTCCAAGTCGGACCGAAACGTCGTCGTAAGCTTCTCTCTTTTATGTGCGGGTTATTTGTGTAACACAAAAATGTATTACAAGTCTTTTCTATTTCACAACCACAATTCTTCCCTGACTATCTTATCTGCAAGTGAGTAGAACTGATGCACTAAATCCTCAAAGAATAAGGCCAATAAACCTATTAATACTTCATATAACTTAAACAGATAAAGATCTTCATAAAATATGACAAAGCAAAAGTTATACAGCATAATTATTAGCAGCAATACACAGATCTATACAAATAGCAAAATAAGTCCAGATGAGGCAATCAGTTTGTTGAAAAAAAATTATATATATTTATGATTCTGACAAGTTGTGTTTAAAGACAAATGAGAAAGCATTGAGGACATTATATTATGGATATGTTTCAGTCCTCTGACCTTGTTCACTCCAAACATACATGGGTCCTAAGTTCATATAGGAAAAGGTACATGTAAAACAAGCTGAACTTCAGTGAGATCAGGTGCGCTGAAAATTTTTGGTAACATTAAAAATAGGTTAGACAAAGTAAATGTGCGAGAAGGGATGTATTTGAGAAGGTACCTGCCCAGCAAGGGCTAGTAGGACTACTGCCAGTGCTCCTCCAATCTTGTGTTCATTTGATGGCTGTCCTGACTGGTAGGACTCCTTGCCAAACATCTATCCAAGCCCCTGGGCACCATTAGCCATGCTAGAAACATTCAGGAGACCTGTCTTGTATCTCAAGTGTCAAGATGACTTACGAAATCGTAATGACCTAGTTGGACGAATCTTATTGTGGCTAGCTGGTCTAGTGGCTAACGCGATGGGCTGGAGTTTTGAGACTCTCTGACCGCGGGTTCAATCCCGGCCGGGGTATGGTTTTTCTCAAGTGTCAACATTGGGAATAAACACACAGCTTTTTTTGATGGAACATCTCTCTCTTCCAACATTACTACTCCAATTGCCATTGATGTAGACAGACAGCTGATGACAATGACCTCCCTCTGCCCCAACAAAACTTCATCGATTTGATTGACCTGTAAGTCAATTTTAACTTATAGTATTTCGGCATGGTAATGGGTAGCCCCCTCAGCTCCATGCTAGCTAATATCATTATGCAGTGCCTGGAGGCAGAAAAGTTTCACACCACGATTCCAAGCACCATAACATATTTATCTTAATAGCCTGAAAAAAATGTCTGCTCTCCCTCTTAGACATCCTTCTATGCAGAACACCTGACAGTGAAGCCCTCTCAAAGTGTACAGGAATCCCACTAACAAGGATAACCTCATATTCCTCACACTATGACACATGCAACAAGAGAAGAGAAGTAACTGGATTCATTAGAGAGTTCTTTGTATATCTAGTCCTGCTACCCCAGAGGAAGAATGTGTCCACTTTCTACAAACCTCCACATGTCTTTACTATACCACATATTCATCCATGACTGTAGAGTACAATCTGAGACTATCTTGAACACTACATCTTCAGATACTGTATTAATCATCAGTGTGGTGATGTGGCATACAACACCTTCAGAGCACTTAACAAGTAAAATATCAAAATGGCCACAATAGTAACCACCTCCACCAAAGATCTCATCAGAAAGTGAACCACTGCTAAGTTCCCAGTATCTAGTGCTGGTGTCTTCACTATCCTGTATAGATACTGAAACAAGAAGTACATGGGGGAGACTGGTAGGAGTCTATCCATTTAGGATCAATGAACATAAATACAAGTGCAGCAGAGATGACCAAAATAATGCCACCATGATTCAGAGACACAAAGGAATATTTAATGAGGTGATCTGAAGTCCAGCTGGTCACCAGGGAGCAAGATGTAAGAAGACAACAGTGTTTAAAAGAATCCCTGATGATGGCAACAAATATGGTAGTGCAGAAAGCAGGTAATTATAACACATCTACCATGTTGGCACACATGCATCCAGAATGTGTATAAACCCATCAACCTCGGTACACAGCCATCAGAAAACACTGACCTAGTGGCCCTTACCAGGCAGGTTCTTCTCGAATACAACCCCTCTCACTCACATAACCTGTTTTTAAAGCTACCCAAGATTTTCAGCATACCTAACTTTGCTAAAGTCCAGCTTACTCCACATGTACTTTACCTATATAAACCTATGTTTTTCATGACCCACGTATGCATGGAGTAAACAAGGTCCTCAGACCAGAACACAAAAAATAAAATGTCCTCAGTGTTTGCTCTTGCTTCTTTAACCACAAAAGAAGTTGGATTAATTTTGTCCTATTCCAGAGAACTTAAATCTAATATTTTATGAATTATACTACAAATTGTGCTACATAATAAGAGCATGTGCCTAATTCATTTAAATAATCTCAAAATCTAATTATCAAACTCTCAATACATAAGAGTGTTTAGTCAGATCACAACAACAGTTGATACAAACCCACAAGCTGTTGCTAACTTTATATTATCAGAGATTGTGTGAATGAACAATTACTTTTCTCTAATACCTGATATATTCAATTACAAGATCTATTTGCAGTACATTAGCAAAAGTTTTCATACAAGGCATGGTATGGTGTCCGTAGTGAACTTTATGAAATACAGACAAGGACAAAATGGAGGGTTACAGAGGGTAATAATCCTGCAATGAGAGAAAATATTTACCAGGAAGAAAATACAAAAACAGTTCAGAGCATTAGTTAGTACAGTAATTATTGTAATTGGTTTCTGCCTGTAAAAAAATTAATAGCTTTGCAAAAATTGAATTTATGTACAATAAAAAAAAACAGATCTACAGTACAACATTGTTGCAAAAATTTAATTTATGTACAATAAAAAAAACAGATCTACAGTACAACATTGTCAAAACATATAAAACATAGTGAAAACTAACATAGTTCAGAACTTTTACTCAGAATGGAATGGAAGTTGGTATGTAAGGTTGTAGCATGGCACAGTAAACCATAAATTATAGATACAGCTTGCATTTCCAAACTTGGTCTTAAATTTGTTTTCATGGATATGCACTCTTTAAACACATCTATGGTCATAAAGGTACTGTTTACTTTCTACATCCTGCACATCCACCACATAAAACTGAGGCTGAGGTATCCAGTGGCAAGCTTTTAAATTTAAAAATAAATTACAGTAAACCTTTGGCATAATGGACTTCGGAAACAGAAATATAATCTGCTCTGCCATTCAATTCAGGAAACACGGACAAAGTCCGTAGGTTACAGATTTGTCCATTACTATTAATATTATGGCAGAACAATCTATTTTTTATTCACCACAATTACCATTACTGCCCACCCAGTACAGACCTGTGTACAGGCCATTTCATTTAACTGAGAAGACTTTGTGTGCAGTTTATAATGATTTGGCACTGAACATGTGTTCAGGAAATCTACTGCTGCTAAATTTCTTGGACCTCTGTGCTGCATTTATTACCACTGGTAATGGATTACTGATGAGTGATCTTTTTGACTGTGGCTTTAGCAATACTGTATTGTCATTTCTGAAATTGATTCTGATCAGTCATATCAATAGTAGTCAATTATTCTGTATCTGATCTGTCTTCTTGCCCTCATGGCATTCCTTATGGCTCTGTTCTTGGACTGGTATTGTTTACAGTTTATGTTAGTGGTTTAGCCATACTCTTGGATACCCATGAGGTTGACTGTCATTTTTATGCTGATAATTTACAAGTCTACATCAGGGTTCTAAATGTTGACAATAGAAAGTTTGTCTTAGTTCTCTATTACTGGATATTCAAACTTGGATGACAAGTACAAAACTGAAATTAAATGAGGGTAAGGCAGAGATTTTGATTGTCAGGGAAAACCTCAGGAGAGTAAAGACTGGAGATTTTTTGATGCCTTTGAGTGTGATACTGTCAGTTTACAGCATGTGGATCAGTTAGAAACCTGGATGTCTACCTGGATTCTTCATTATCATTTATTGGGCACATCAACCAACTTGTTAAATCTTACAATTTCCTATTCATAACCACTATGCAGTCAGAAAATATCTTCATAAGCAGAGTATCTTGTTCTTTATCCATGCATTTATTTCCTCTTGATTACTGGAAATTGTTTGTTTGTAGGTTTGCCTAGCAACTTGTTAAAAGACTTCAGTCTGTACTGAATCGTGCAAGTAGACTGATATTTCTTCTCCCAACTGGTGTTCCCACTAGTCCCTACTCGTATGAGCTACAGTGGTTCCTGATCAAGGCAAGAACTGAATTTGAATTCTGCTTATTAACATTTAGAGTTATGTTTAATGAGCCCAAGAATCTTGCTGACATTCTTGAACCTTTTTTACATCAGACTTAGGAATGTACCTGTCAGCTGCCATGAATCCTTTCAGGCTGAGCTTCATGCTGTCAAGGAGAGATCACTTGCAGAAAGTTTACTGATGTAGCTCCTAGATGGCTCAACAGATTAGAAGTGTCTGTCAAGAGTCAGGAATCTACTGATGCTTTCAAGTATTGGTTGAAAGTACGAGTATTGGTTGAAAGCACAAGTCTTGGTTGACAGCACATCTCTTCTCTAGAGTTTACGATCCTGGTGATCATACTGTCATTCTTGAATAAAATCATTAGTATTCATTCTTCATCGATGTTGTTGCATTTATGGCTTAATATGCAAGCCAAATTATTATTATTATTATTAAAATTGTTATTTTTTTGGGGTCACCCTGCCTCAGTGGGAGACAGCCAGCATGCTTAAAAAAAATTATTATTATTATTATTATTATTATTGTTATTCTTTCTTCTTTCAACACACCAGCCGTATCCCACCGAGGCGGGGTGGCCCAAAAAGAAAAACAAAAGTTTCTCTTTTTAAATTTAGTAATTTATACAGGAGAAGGAGTTACTAGCCCCTTGCTCCTGGCATTTTAGTCGCCTCTTACAACACGCATGGCTTACGGAGGAAGAATTCTGTTCCACTTCCCCATGGAGATAAGAGGAAATAAACAAGAACAAGAACTTGAAAGAAAATAGAAGAAAACCCAGAGGGGTGTGTATATATATGCTTGTACATGTATGTGTAGTGTGACCTAAGTGTAAGTAGAAGTAGCAAGACGTACCTGAAATCTTGCATGTTTAAGAGACAGAAAAAAGACACCAGCAATCCTACCATCATGTAAAACAATTACAGGATTCCGATTTACACTCACTTGGCAGGACGGTAGTACCTCCCTGGGTGGTTGCTGTCTACCAACCCACTATCTACAATTATTATTACTATTATTATTATTATTATTATTATTATTATCATCATCAAGTGTTTACTATGGCTCCATGGAGAAGTGGAACAGAATTCTTCCTCCGTAAGCTATGCATATCGTAAGAGGCTACTAAAATGCTGGGAGCAAGGGGCTAGTAACCCCTTCTCTTGTATACATTACTAAAGTTCAAAAGAGAAACTTTTGTTTTTCTTTTTGGGCCGCCCTACTTAAGTGGGATACGGCAAGTTTGTTGAAAGAAGAAAGAAGTTTGCTATGGCTAGTTTCCCATGACTGATAAATTATCAGTGAACTCTACACCATTCAGAATTACTGTATTTTGGACCACTGAAGAAAATGTAAGCTACTTGTAATAATACATCAATGGGACATACTGATGAATTAATAAACTTTGAAAATTTGAAATACATTATAAAATTAGCAATAGCTACCTAAATTGAAAAACAAATAGCCCATAATAGTTCAATCAATATGTGTTACAGTCAGGTAATGAATATACAGTAGTATATAAGGTTACTTGAAGCAGTATACATGTATATATAAAATTTGCAAGATTAGTTTCCAAAATTTATCATGACATTTCAATGGTACTTAGCATTGATCTTCCCTGAATTTTATGTCTTTTATACTTTAAACCCAAGTCTTTTTTACACACCTCCTCTTTGGAAATTTTTTTTTATACCAACTTTCCATCAATTTCTATAAGAATAACAACAAATACAGTGCATCATAACACCTTATTGCAATTCTTTATACCTTAACTTAGGGTTTGATTTATGCAAGTGCTAACATCATATTTTTTATCTCTGTCTCCTCAAAACTCCTTTCTAGTCTTGTCTTTCCTATTTTAAGATGCAGTGTTTTGTCCTAACTGGCATTATGCACAGGTAAATTACTTACACCTTCTCACAATAAGTTAGTCATCCTCTTAAATTTCTCTTCTTATAATCTGAATTTTACACACTATTCTTTCCATCAAATTTATTTTACTAAGAATATTACTTTATCTTGTCATATACCTCACCCTTGATTATTGCAAAATTCTCTCGAGTAACAACATACAAAGTCTTTTTTGATAACACATTATAATCACATCATTAGATAATACTCCATAAATCAAATTCTTTTTAGTATTTTTTCATAGCTTAAAAGTCTATCTAAATATATAAATGACACCTTTTGCCCTTGTCTCTACAGTATTACCAACTCTAGCATTTCACCTCATACAAAAAATTCTACCTTTTCATTCACTCTCCGGTGCCAATGACGGCCCTTGACTCCTGCATCATAAACATAGCTTTTTCAAGTGCTGTGAGGAAGGCAAAAGCAGAGGCACTTGCATCTGGAGGAGCTGCCAGACTAACCTCCTTCTCTTCTTCTCCAGCCAAGCAGTACTGCACTGTGAGAGATGATACCAAGCAATTGCCAGACACATTCTGTGGAGATCAATAATGCAGGTACTGTACCACAATACTGCTTAAAGAAAAGTGGAGGCAAAACAACATCAAAGTTAATATATACTACAAGACACAGGATGCACAAAATATTTACACAAATAAAATTTGAATAAAAACACTAACTTAGTCATACATCAATAGGATTACATGCTTTTAAACCACGTACGTTTTTAATTTTCCTTTCATATATATGTATTTTCTAAAATTTCTTCATAAACATTAACCCTTTCACTGTCGGCCCTGTAATATTACAGCTTGCAAGCCAGTGTCGGTTCTGTAATATTATGCCAAAACTCTAGTGGCTTAAAATCTTGCGGGAGAAAGTTGGTAGGTCTACATATGAGAAAATGGCTCTGAGTGCTTAGTGTGCGCAGTATAAAAAAAACCTGCAGTATGCAGTGCATGATGAGAAAAAAAAACTCCGACCGTGTTTTTGGTTTAAAACAGCGACTTTGCGGTGTATTTTCGTATGGTATTTATGGTTGTATACTCGTTTTCTTGGTCTCATTTGATAGAAGGGAAGACATATTACACAAACAGAGATGATTTTGAATGGTTTTCGAACTAAAAGTACAGTACCTTGAAACTGAGCTCAAAATAGTGGAAACGTTCAATTTTTGCCAATGTTCATGAGTAAACAAATCATGCCACACGTCCAATACACTTCAACTGGTGGGTCTAACATGCTTTCGCAAATGTGCTGATATTATTTTTACCATTTTTACAATAATGCAGTAGTCTGCATAACAGTAAATCTTCTATTTTTTGTTTGAATAAAAATTCAAAATGGAAAGCAAGCATAATATAAGAGGGGCCTGGAGATGTGACTAATGAACAGAGAAAATGTTATTTAAGTGCTAGAAATGTCTGCATTGTTTATTCTGGCCCCTATTTTGTAACTGGCCTTACTTGAATTGTGTATGAAATTGGCCAAATTACCAATTTCTGATCACTTTATTGGGTAGTTGAATCAGTAAATGGGCAGTTTCTTGTACTCAATCAATAGAATAAATGGAGTTCTAGCAAAATAGCTATGAGTTTAGTGGACTAGAACAATAGAACTGGCTAAAATAAGGCTCAAAGTGGGCAAAATTCCTGATGCGTATATATCGCCAAGACCACTAACTTTGCGAGAGTATAATTCCATATGTTTTCCATCAAATTTCATACTTTTGGTGTCATTACCATTGGGAAAAGACTATCATTTCATAAGAAAAAATATACTATATACATTTTTTTAAATTCTTCGACACTGAGAGCAAGTTTGTGAGCAGGGGTCTTGACAGTGAAAAGGTTAATAAATCATACTATTTTTGGCATAATATTTTTTTGTGCAAAAAGAATTGACAAAATCCTTTACTGTACTAAAATGCAACTTGAGTGAGCTAGAGAAGTACATCAACTTTTCTATAGTTATTGTTTACGAGGAAGGAGAAGTATGCAATATAAGTTATCTAGGTCCACTTAGCAAAAATAATCTGTTATTATAAACACTGCATGCAGTAAACTGTGATCTGAAGAAAGAATAAAACAAAGAAGACAGATTCAATTATATTATTACTGAATTCATGTGGGTTGTGCTAAAGCCGTAGGGGTCATACAGCACATGAGGGAATGAGAAACAATCAGGTTTAATCCAAGGGCAAGATCAGGTCCACTTCCTTGGATGAAGAGCTTCTCAATGGCATCAAGACAAGACTGAACTCTAGACGACAAAGATCCTATTCTTGAACCTTAAGAAGTGCTTTAGAGAAACTCTAAATTATTCCAGTATGAAATAGATTGCATTTATTAAGATTTCAAAATACACTTTATTCTTATCTTATTTATTATATGGTTCTCTTCTATTTGATTTAACTTCAATCTTGCCTCTTTAATGTAGGTAATTATGGTCAAAGTGAAGAATTTGAAAAGCAAGTAAAAAAGGCAAAAGACATGACCACAAATACTAATATAAGCCCAAAGTTTAAAGAAGACAGCAAACAGTCTCATAATAGTAAAAGATGCAACTGAAACAGAACTATCTTAGTTAGCAGAAACAAATGACCATTTTTTTTATACACTAACATGTGCTCATCACTCGTTTCAGTAATTTATAGAGTCCTTGAAAAGGTTGGAAGGAAGGGGTAAGGGAGGTTTTGTGGGCGAGGGGCTTGGACTTCCAGCAGGCGTGCATGAGTGTGTTCGATAGGAGTGAATGGAGACGAATGGTATTTGGGACCTGACGATCTATTGGAGTGTGAGCAGGGTAATATTTAGTGAAGGCATAGGCAATGGGGTCAAAGAGGTATGGGGTAGGTTTAAAAATGTAGTGTTAGAGTGTTCAGCAGAAGTTTGTGGTTACAGAAAAGTGGGTGCGGGAGGGAAGAGGAGCGATTGGTGGAATGATGATGTAGAGAGAGTAGTAAGGGAGAAAAAGTTAGCATATGAGAAGTTTTTACAAAGTAGAAGTGATGCAAGGAGGGAAGAGTATATGGAGAAAAAGATAGAGGTTAAGAGAGTGGTGAAGCAATGTAAAAAGAGAGCAAATGAGAGAGTGGGTGAGATGTTATCAACAGATTTTGTTGAAAATAAGAAAAAGTTTTGGAGTGAGATTAACAAGTTGATGAAGCTTAGAGAACAAATGGATTTGTCAGTTAAAAATAGGAGAGGAGAGTTATTAAATGGAGAGTTAGAGGTATTTGGGGAAAATGGAGGGAATATTTTGAGGAATTGTTAATGTTGATGAAGATAGGGAAGCTGTGATTTCATGTATAGGGCAAGGAGGAATAACATCTTGTAGGAGAGAGGAAGAGTCAGTTGTGAGTGTGAGGGAAGTTCGTGAGGCAGTAGGTAAAATGAAAGGGGGTAAGGCAGCTGGGATTGATGGGATAAAGATAGAAATGTTAAAAGCAGGTGAGGATATAGTTTTGGAGTGGTTGGTGCTATTATTTAATAAATTTTTTGGAAGAGGGTAAGGTTTCGGGATTGGCAAGAGCATGCAATTTTCCTTTGTATAAAGGCAAGGGGGACAAAAGAAGTGCAAAAATTAAGGGGATAAGTCTGTTGAGTATACCTGGTAAAGTGTAGGTAAGTTATTATTGAAAGAATTAAAAAGAAAAGGGGAAATGGGATAGAGATGAATAAGGAGGCTTTAGAAAGGTAGGGGGTGTGGCCCAGGTGTTTACAGTGAAACATAAAAGTAACAGTATTTTAAAAAGGGCTAAAGAGGTTTTGTGGCTTTTATGGTTTGGAAAAGGCATATGACAGGTGGATAGGGGGCAATGTGGAGATGTTGCAGGTGAAATGGATAAAGTAGGTTACTGAAAGCAGTAAGAGTTTTTACGGGGAATGAGGCTAAAGTTAGAGTATTGGGAAAGAGGGGATTATTTCCCAGTAAAAGTGGGCCCTTTTAGACAGGGATGTGTGATGCACCGGGGTTTATTTAATATATTTATAGATGGGGTATAAAAATAAATGTGAGGGTCTTGGCAAAGGCATGGAGTTAAAAGATAAAAATCACATATAAAGTGGGATTTGTCACAGTTGTTTTTTGTGATGACACTGGCTTTTGGGGAGATTCTGAAGAGAAGTTGCAGGGGTTTGGTGGATAAATTTTGGGTAGGTATTAAAAGAAGAAAATTAAAAGTGAATACAGGAAAGATAAGGTTAGAGGAAACAAAAAGATTAGGTGAAAAAAATTGGATATCAGATTGGAGGGGGAGAGTGGAGGGGGGAATTATAGATATTTGGGGGTGGACGTGTCACGATGGTCTATGAAAGATGAGGGGAATCTAGAATTGGAGGGGGGAAAGGGGGGCGGGATAAATTAGGAGTCCCGGGGGAGCAAAAAACTTGTCCCCGGAGGCAAAAGGGGAATGTATGAAGTGTGTTTTTTACCAACGCTCTTATTTTGGGTGTGAAACATGGGTGATGAATTTGCAGCGAGGAGAAGGCGGGGCGTGGAGATGTCATGTCTGAGGGCAATGTTGGGTGAATATAATGCAAAAAATTCATAGTTTTTAAGTTAGGAGGAGGGGCGGGATTGCCAAAACTGTTTTTTCCAAGGGCTGATAAGGTTGTTGGGTGGTTCGAACATTAAGAGAATAGCGAAACGAAGCTTTAAAAGGTATCAGCTGTAGTGGAAGGAAGGCGGGTAGGGGGCACCTAGGAAAGGTTTGGGGGGAGGGGGGAAAGGAGGTTTTTTTGCGAGGGGCTTGACTTCCACGGGGAACTGCGTTTTGATAGGAGTGAAGGAAAAATGGTTTTTTTAAAACTTGCTGCTGTTGGGGTGAGCAAAGTAACATTTACGAAGGGATTCAGGGAAACCGGCAGGCCGGACTTGAGTCCTGGAGATGGGAAGTACAGTGCCTGCACTCTGAAGGAGGGGTGTTAATGTTGCAGTTTAAAAACTGTACTGTAAAGCACCCTTCTGGCAAGACAGTGATGGAGTGAATGATGGTGAAAGTTTTTCTTTTTCGGGCCACCCTGCCTTAGTGGGAATCGGCCAGTGTGCTAATGAAAAAAATAAATAATAATTCAGGGAAACCAGTTATTTTTATATAGCCGGACTTGAGTCCTGGAATTGGGAAGTACAATGCCTGCACTATAAAGGAGGGGTTCGGGATATTAGCAGTTTGGAGGGATATGTTGTGTATCTTTGTACGTATATGCTTCTAAACTGTTGTGTTCTGAGCACCTCTGCAAAAACAGTGATTATGTGTGAGGTGAAAGTGTTGAATGATGAAAGTATTTTCTTTTTGGGGATTTTTCTTTCTTTTTGGGTCACCCTGCCTCTGTGGGAGACGGCTGACTTGTTAAAAAAAAGAAAAAAAAAATGCCTTTCTCTATGACACAGTGACAAAAACTTCTTGTAAACAGCAGATATAATGACCTAATGTAATCTGGAGTTAGATGCCTCACCTGGTCGCGGTCACCCACTTGGATACCCGTAATTCGGTGCATGGGTATAGACAGGGGTAGAGCAGAGTCATTGTAGGGTCCAGAGACAACAAAGAATCGTTGGTCAGGCGACAGATGGCACTGCACTAAATCCATTGCAGAATCACTTGCCATGCACAGTATGGCTCCTGAGAACAAACTAATCATGTAGTACTATAAGACTAAGTTACGTTCAAGGAAAAATACTGTCACACTCAAGTTTACAAAAATCATATCACTATGTACGTTTTTATCTACTTCACATGATGCCAAATACTCATTAACTGTGGGATGCTCAGTGTGCAAAAATGTTTAACATAACATATTGAAAAACAAGAACTAAAGCAATAATGATGGAAAATAATGCGATTTCCAGCAATAATAAAGAAAATGTCCAAATCGGTAATTTTCCCTTAACGATCAAAAAAGAAAGTGAACCATCTCCATTTTTTATATAATGTTTGGTGAAGAATATTGAATAAATTGCCACAAATTTAGTTATTTTGAAATATGTTCCACATCAAACTACATACTGACTGGACTAACTGCACACACTAAACTAGTCCATGAATTATTACTATTATTACAGTCATAGAGAAGTGACAAGCCCATAAGGGTCAGACAGTGCCTGGGAAATGAGAAGAAATCAGGTTTGATCAAAGGGAGGAAATGGTAACTTAATTTCTTGGAAAAAGAGCCCTTCACAAGCATTAAGGCAACCCCTCTGAAGGGCCTAATCCATTAAGTGGGGCTAAGAAACCACTTCAAGGACACAGTACAGTCATCATTTATGCATTATTTTTTGACACCTCTTTCAAATCATAACATTACCTCCACCTGTCTTTGCTGTGTTTGCCCTTTTTCCTTGCACATTCAGTCTATCATAGTGACTGACTGGTTCACTCAATTTTCCTTTGTACATATACAATAGAGGCAATATTAAAAAGTTAAATGCACAATAAATATTGAAACTGAGACAACCAGAATACAATTCTCCTGTAGCTAAAATACACCCATTCACACTACTCTTTCATTCTCCACGTGTATATTTTTACATACACAGGCATCTCAACTGATGAAGACAAAGAATTATAAACATTAAGAAGACTGCAGTATCAATGTTTACCATAATTATAACAAGTATAAACATGCTCACCAGTGAACAGAGCCTTGAGGTCTTTATTGTAAAAGATGTTTTCTCTTAACGTTGTCTCTGCACATGGTGTACACACCCGTACTGGGTCAAGAAAGCACATTCTTGGCAAAGCAATACGAGTCTCGCAGCAGGAAGCACAACAGACTCGTCCACACCGACGACAGTGATGCTGTTAAATCAAGAGGCTTGATTACCATAGTTTCAACTCTGTTACAAAATTCAAGACTGAAACATTTTGATGGGTTAACAGAACTACAATACAGGTGACTACCCTGTGATGTAATTTCTTAAAAGAATATGTAGGAGTGCTGAAAAGTTGATAAAGATAAACTGTATAAAGAAATGCTGAAAGAGAAATTAAGTAAAGTGCTCAGAGGTGCATGTCGTAGCAATGAATGGCCTCTGTGTTCAGTGCTTTTCATGATAATAAAAATGAGGTTAAGAATGAAATAAGCATTGAGATTCTGTGGGAATTTAGCTAATGATGTTAGCCACCAAGGGAAAAATTGGTGGCAAAAGTTTGATGAAATGAACAAAGCAAGAGATTTTTTTACTTTGAAGTAAATTAGAATGGAGTGAATAATGAAGATAAAAAAAATCAAGAAACAAAGAAAGAGGAGAGTAGGCAGGTGGAACAAATGGGTCATGAAAAACTCAGAAAGTATACCATATAAGATTATAATTCAATCACCAGGAGCATACTAAGAATAAAATGAAAATTGAAGTGTTACACTCTATGCCTAATATGGAAAAATTACTTATGTAACTGATACTATGCTGCATATTATACTTTATAATAACAAAAACTTCTGCCAAATGACTGCAATATTTGAGAAAAATCAGCTAACTTTCTTATGGCTAACCATCTCACTGTACTACCCTCTCAATTAAACTTTTTACAATACAATATAAACTCAGGAAAAAGTATTGTACTCCACTTACCCTTCTCTTTAAAAAGTCAAACTTTTCTTTGCAATCCATGCATGTCGGACTCTGAAAGAAACATGGTACATTGTTGGTAAAATATGTTGTATTGCATCTACAGAAAAACTACTCACAGAAAATGAACACACTAAGATAATGTATTATAAAGGGGGAAAAATACTTAGAAGTTGCATCAAAATATTAAAAAGGAGTGAAATAGCACACAATACCCAACATCATTAAACAGGTGATTATAATTATTATTACACTCATAACAAAGTGCTAAACCTGTAAGGGTCATACAGCATTTAACCCTTTGACTGTTTTGGTCGTATATATACGTCTTACGAGGTACCGTGTTTGACATACATATACTCATAAATTCTAGCAGCTTCAAATCATGCAGGAGAAAGCTGGTAGGCCCATATGTGAGAGAATGGGTCTGTGTGGTCAGTGTGCACCATATAAAAAAAATCCTGAAGCACGCAGTGCATAATGAGAAAAAAACTCCGACCGTTTTTTTTAATTATAATGCCGACTTTGTGGTCTATTTTCGTATAGTATTTATGGTTGTATTCTCGTTTTCTTGGTCTCATTTGATAGAATGGAAAACATATTATAAAAACAGAGGTGATTTTGATTGGTTTTACTATAAAAAGAACCTGGAAATGGAGCTCAAAATAGGGGAAATGTTTGATTGTTGCCGATATTCAAAAGTAAACAAATGACGTCATTGTCCAATAAATGTCCAACTAATATGCAGTCATGAATGGGTTGACATTATCTGTACAATTATTACAGTATTGCAGTACTCTGCATAACAGTAAATCTTCTACTTTTTGTTTGAATAAAAATTCAAAATAGAAAGCAAGAGTAATATCAGAGGGGCCTGGAGATGTGACTGATGAACAAAGGAAATGTTATTTTAGAGCCAGGAATGTCTGCATTGTTCATTCTGGACCTTATTTTGAAATTGTCATATTTTTTAATTTTCGTGAAATTGGCCAAATTGCAAATTTCTGACCACGTTATTGGGTAGCTGAATTCAGTAAATGGGCAGTTTCTTGTACTCAATCGATAGAAAAAACGGACTTCTAACGAAATAGCTATGAGTTTCGTTGACTGGAACAATGGAATTAGCCGAAAGTAGGGCTCAAAGTGGGCGAAATTGCCAATTTGTAAATATCGCCAGGGTCGCTAACTTTGTGAGAGCGTAATTCCGTCAGTTTTCCATCAAATTTCGTTTTTTTGGGTGTCATTACAATCGTGAAAAGATTCTCTATAATTTCATATGAAAAAATAATTTTTTTTTTTGAAATTTTGCGACACCAGGAGACACCTCAGGATTGGGGGTTGTGACAGTCAAGGGGTTAAACATCTAAGAGATCCTTGATACCTACTCCCAGAAATAACAAGTGGCTCAATACTATACACCAAGCAATCATTATGACTGAGAAGTACAGTAGTACATCAGAAATACTATTGAATCACCTATAGGCTAAGTATATTTTTATTTAGGTGTTGCATACACACCTAATATACAAATTTTTTACAATGAACTTTAAAGAATTGACACAGAAAATAATACATTATGTAAAATTACCCTAAGATAATCCATATACCTGCTTTCTCTTTGTCTTTGAAGAGTTTCAAGAGTTTCTCTACTCTCTGAGCCGGGCCATGGGCCAGGCTCGTCCGGTGCTGGCCTGGTCAACCAGGCTGTTGCTGCTGGAGACCCCTGCCCCACATATCCATCACAGCCTGGTTGATCTGGCACGTGGTGAAGATACTTGTCCAATTTCCTCTTGAAGGCTTCTACACTTGTTCCAGCCGTATTTTGGATATCTTCTGGTAAAATGTTGAATAGCCTGGGACCCTGGATGTTGATACAGTGTTCCCTTAGTGTCCCCACTGCACCCCTGCTTGGCCAATTAGGTTAAACATTGATGGGTTTGGTCAGTAACTGGGTCCAAAAAATTATGGAATCTAATTTCAAGTAGCATTTGTCAAAGTTGTTCACAGATGATACACTGATACTGAGACTTGGAAGAGAAGATGCAGAGATTGGCAGAGGAGTTTGGAAAGTTATGCAAAAGATAGTACAAACTTCACTCACTCACTCAATCACACACACACACACACACACACACACACACACACACACACACACACACACACACACACACACACACACACACACACACACACACACACTATACACGCACAAGGAATCATTCGAGACTGTATGCACTGTGTACGTCAGGCCCATACTGGAGTATGCAGTACCAGTTTGGAACCCACACCTGGTCAAACACATTAAGAATTTAGAGAAAGTGCAAAGGTTTGCAACAAGGCTGGTTTCAGAGGTAAGGGGAATGTCCTATGAAGAAAGGTTAAGAGAAATCGGTCTGATGACACTGGAGGACAGGAGGGTCAGGGGAGACATGATAATGACAAACAAAGTACTGCGTGGAATAGACAAGGTGGACAGAGACAGGATGTTCCAGAGATGGGACACAGAAACAAGGGGTCACAATTGGAAGCTGAAGACTCAGATGAGTCAAAGGGATGTTATGTAGTATTTCTTCAGCCATAGAATTGTTAGGAAGTGGAACAGTCTGGCAAATGATGTAGTGGAAGCGGGAACCATACATAGTTTTAAGACGAGGTATGATAAAGCTCATGGAGCAGGGAGAGGGAGGACTTAGTAGTGCTCAGCGAAGAGGCAGGGCCAGGAGCTGAGTCTCGACCCCTGGAACCCCAATTAGGTAAGTATGTACGTACACACAAGCACACGCACACACGCACACGCACACACACACACACACACACAGGTTTAATAAAGCTCATGGAGCAGGGAGAGAGAGGACCTAGTAGCAAACAGTGAAGAGGCGGGGCCAGGAGCTATGAATCGACTCCTGCAACCACAAATAGGTGAATACAAATAGGTAAGTACACACACACACACAGATCCAGCTTAAATACAAAGATTGTTCCTAAAAAACTGAATTTATTTACATATTCATTCCAACCAAGTCTGACACTATATTCCCTACAACTTTTGAGTAAACAAGTCCTCTGGATCACTTACCTACAAACTGTGTCAGTAGTGAAGAACAGATCGAGATCCTCCCAATATACAGAACATGATGCTGTATTACAAGGTTATCCAGAGGATGAAATATAACTCACTAAGGCAACAACAGTCATGTGTTTGACTTTGTTGGGTAACCCTAGTTGAAATGTAAATAATATTTTACATAACACCTGTGTTCCCTCATCACAACAACAACAAAAAATGTATATTATGCATATAATACGCCTAAAAACATATTAATATCCAATAAAGACACTTAGCAATGTAAGAATATGGTACCTCTACAGTATTTAGAAAATAAACAGCATTAGTAGCTTGCAACTTTGGAAATTTATACGAAAAAAAAGAAAAAATCTTGAAAGGGCAAAGGATGTAAAGGCTCGACCCTGTCAAGGACTTCTGTCTACGTCACAACACTTGTCAAGAAAATTGTCAAATTCCTAGCTGACAAGAACTCGTCAAACCATCACTACTATTATAATCCCTCGTGTAGATCACTATATCCATTATAACGAGCCAAATCAGTGTTGAAACCACTCCTAACAATAAAATAAAACACCTATACATCAGGGTGTACATCTGAAACTCGGAGTTCCCGTGTCATAACCCCTTAAACAACGACATTTCTTTGCTCAAACTCTTACCAGCTTATCAGGTATCCACTCAGGTTCTCTCAACTCAAATGGACTTTTGTCGAAATCATTCAAAGGCACAATTCTCAGCCCTGATTTCGAGCGGACGAGCCTCTTGCCTGTTGTTGTTGTGTTGGCCATGTTTGTTTACCTTCTGTTTCACTCTGCTGGGCTAACAACTTCTCTCATTATATTATATATTATATTACATTATATTATATTATATTATATTATATTATATTATATTATATTATATTATATTATATTATATTATATTATATTATATATATATATTATATTATATTATATATTATATTATATTATATTAATTATATTGTATTATATTGTATTAATTATTTATTATCTTATAAATTAAGTAGTTACAGCGGTTAGGTGTGCAGTTTATTTGGTTGCAGCTTTGGTGTAAATATAATGTAATTTCGTAGAATTGCTTATTCTGAGAATGCCACTTATTATGTAAGTTTATTTAGGCAATGGTTCACATAAGTACAATTATGATATATAGTATATATTACCTAGAATAACCCAAAAAACGTCAGACAAAGTGATTTATTTCCATTGGGGTCCTTATAAGTTTATTTAGGTACAGGCCTACATATATAAGTACACTTACACAAATTTAAGCGACTATAGATATCATACATAGTAAAATATATATAAATTACCCAGAATAACACACAAAAAAATAATTTCCCAAAAGTTTTTTTATTATTATAATTAATTCTGGTCTAAATTTGGTTAAGGAGGTTAGGTCAATGTGAAAAAAATAGAATGGATCTGTTTCATGAATAAAGTTTGCCAAAAAAAATAACAATTAATGCTATATGAGGCCTAGTGTACTAGGGGGCGTGTCAGCCTTCAACCAATGAACGTCGAGGCCACAACCAGGAACTGGCCGCGTTCTGTCAAACAATTAAAAATCAGAACTAAGCATATTACACATCCCCCAAACGCGAAAAAATATACAACCTAACATTATTTTGACGCATTAATGAGAAGATCAGGCGATAAGGAGAATATAAGAGAGGTTGGACGGCACATAATACATTTCAACGTGTCGTGGAGCCTTGCAATCTGTGGCCCTAATTAAGCAAAGCCGTCACAATGTTAAGTAACGGAACGCACCCACCTGCCTCCCACAGCTTATCAAGAATGGACGGAAATGATAGTGTGCTCTTCTGAATGCTACTTGCTCACTGCCCTGCAGCCCAGGAATTGTAATGGGCTGTTATCTAGCACAGCCAGCAGAGTACCTAGCCAAAGGTTAGTTTAAAACTTTAGCTGCGTAATGGGAAGAGAGAGAAAAACGAGGTAATAGTAAATGGGAACGTAGGTAAGTTAGTAAACTTATTATCTTATTTACAATGGTGTTTTATGAGTATTAAGTAGAAATTAACTTCTTTCCGTTTATGTCCTTGATAAATATATATTTGTTTGCCTAAAATTATACGTTTTATTTAAGATTAAGAGAAATTATAGGATTTAGGCTGTACTTTTTTAGTAATACATATATTAACATGAAGAGTGGAGTGAGTCAGCTATCCGTCCGTCTATCCGTCCGTCCATCCGCCCGTCCGTCCATCCGTCCGTCCATCCATCCGTCCGTCCGTCCATCCGTCCGTCCATCCGTCCGTCCGTCCGTCCGTCCGTCCATCCGTCCGTCCATCCGTCCGTCCGTCCGTCCGTCCGTCTGTCCGTCCATCCATCCATCTAGCCAGCTGTCAATCCGTCCAGCTATCCGTACATCCATTATACTTATCTATCCTTCCGGCCGTTTATCCATTCTTCTTTCCAGTTCCACTTTCTTATTCTTCTTGCATACAGTTTTCTGTATGTATGTATGTATGTAGATATTTGTGTGTGTGTGTGTGGTCATAATGGAGATAGGAAGGATGCTGGTGAGCAGCATCACCTGCATGCTAATGATAGTGATGAAAGTATTTATGCAGCATCTCTTACAGATGATGGTGACATGGATGGTGACACTGATGATAATGGTGATGGCGGAGGCGAAAAATGTTCTCATGATAGTGGCAGACGATGGTGGCCTTGAAATGAAAGTAAGAAATAAGTATATATATATATATATATATATATATATATATATATATATATATATATATATATATATATATATATGTGTGTATATCAAATTTTATAATGAACATTGATCAATATATCATAAAAAGGAGTGAAATGTTTGACAGAAATTATATATTTGAGAGGCATGTGGCATGATAGTGCAATTCACAATAGTGGACAGGTTTATAGTACATGCAGGGCAAATTCAGGGAATATATGACAGGTATGTATCATGTGAGGAGATAACTCAGTGTTTGACATGTAAAATACATCCGGAGTAAATGCGTATTTGACAGGTGTATGGGAACTCTGTGATTGACATGCCTCACCTGGACGCCCTGGCCAGACGCAGTGTGGCGTTCACACGCGCCTTCACCTCCGTCAGTAGCTGCTCACCCTCGCGCTCCGCCATTCTGACGGGGCTGCCCACTCACCAGAACGGCATGTACGGCCTACACCAGGGCTACCACCACTTTAGTTCCTTCGAGGGCGTGCGAAGCCTGCCGGGGATCCTGGCGGACGCGGGCGTGCGCACTGGTATCATCGGCAAGAAGCACGTCGGTCCCGAAACTGTGTATCCCTTCGAGTTCGCGCACACGGAGGAGACGGAGTCCATCCTGCAAGTGGGGCGAAACATCACCCGCATCAGGCAACTGGCGCGGCAGTTCCTTCAAAATAACGACACCCGCCCTTTCTTCCTGTACGTGGGCTTCCACGACCCGCACCGCTGTGGTCACACTAACCCCGAGTACGGTCAGTTCTGTGAGAAGTTTGGCGACGGTGAGGCTGGAATGGGGGTTATTCCGGACTGGCGACCGGTGCGCTACACCCCCCAGCAGGTAGTCGTACCTTACTTCGTGCAGGATACTCCCGCTGCCCGAAACGACCTGGTGGCGCAGTACACCACGCTCTCACGCCTCGACCAGGGCGTGGGGCTCCTGATGGAGGAGTTGGCCCACGCCGGCCACTTCAATGACACTCTAGTAGTCTACACTTCCGACAACGGTATTCCCTTCCCCGCCGGAAGGACCAACTTATACGACCCCGGACTGGTGGAGCCGTTGCTGGTGTCTTCTCCGGCGCATCAAGAACTCTGGGGTAACACTTCCAGTACTCTCACCTCCCTCCTCGATCTCACGCCCACAGTACTGGACTGGCTGCAAGTCCGCTACCCTAACTACACCATCCTCAGGAAGGATCAACCAGCGGTACTAACCGGAAAATCGCTCCTTCCATACCTCGAGCACGCTGGGGTAGACGCGCGCAAGCCCGATCGAGGCGTGGGCGTGTCCAGAAAGATGGGCGTGTGGGTGCCGGACGTGGGAGCAGCTGGATCAGAACCGGCAGTGTTCGCCAGTCACGATCTTCACGAAGTCACGATGTACTATCCGATGCGCGCCGTCCGCACGCCATCCTTCAA